TAGAAGTTGGAATTTATTTTCCATTTTCCATGAAAAATAATGCCCTATCAAACAGGCCTTAGTGTTTAACTTTTGAATTATTAAAAGCAAGAATTGAGCTTTTTTAAAAGTAATAGTTTACAGGACAAACGTCTCAAAACTTTCTTTTAGCGTCTAAATGTCGACACTAGAAATTGATATGAGGTCCATGCCAACTGCAAAGGAAATAATTTTATACACAAACTATAGCTTGTAAATTTGCTTGCGATCCCACAAAGTAAGGTATTGATGGCCAACCACGTTTTGATGCTTTAAGTTCGTTGGATTGAATATTGAAATATAAATATTTCAGTCTCGTCTTTTAGTATGATGTATACACGTATATGATGCTGTTGAAGTGACGATTTACTTGATTGTCCTATCATTTTCTTTTCATCAAATGCTTTCAATCAACGAATTAAATGTATCTTATAGAAGCAACGAATGCAATGCTACCATTAAATTGACATTTGTATGAAGACACTGTCTTTAACATTTAATTGGTTTTATGTTAACGTTCTTGAGATTGACTATTAGGCTAAATTTGCTCAGCTAGGTGTTGGGAATCACTGTGACTCTCCTAGCTAGTCTTCATTAACTTTTCTTGTTGATAAGTTTCTTATTGTAATATCAACAACGTAAATGGGCCCTCTTCGCTACACGGCATATCTACTTAGACATGGTATTGTAATATTTTCTTTTAGCTACTTAAAGCTAGTGTTCACATATTGGAAATTGAAAATGAGTTGATAATGTCACTCTTTTTATGATTCATTGAAAATGTATGATTTTTAAAGTGAAGCACTAAGAAAAGGCACAAGAGGGACAGTCCAGCTATATGGTTTCATGTCCATGTTTGAGATAATGGAGTCTTTATAAGAAACTTTTAAATTCAGAGATCAGACGATTTCTTGGACATGGTTCATTCAATTCAAATTTGTTTTAATTACTTTAATTATTGAACCGTGCTGTATGTACAGAGGTTTCGCTTCACAGAACCTCTACAGACAACACACAACGGGATGACGGGAAAAAATTTGAACCATTTTTTAATCAGATCGATCCAACGTGGGACTCACCTCGTGTGAGAGGTCGGTAATACCTCTGTGAACGCCATTTATGTACACTTGGATTAATTCTTAATTATTTGGGTATTGGAATCTAATGTTCATTTGGTGGCAGACACATCAAAAACATTTCAAGACATTGTTTAATTGGAATAATTTCCATGTGGTGGGTCTAAAATGTACATCATGAACAAAGAATAGGAAGCCTCTATTCGACCATCCTATGTATATAAATAATTTATCAATCAAGTTTATCTGGATCAGATTCCTTGTTTTTAAACAAATCTGTGCTTATATATAATGAAGGACAGATTATTTGAATGGTTTAAAAAACACTCAAGAGTCAGCACCATGCCCATAGGCGGACCCACATGGGGTCAAGTCACGGGGGTGTAAAATGAATTCAAATCATTTCATTTTAATACCATTTTAAAGTGCTAACAATCTAGTTTCTCGCTTGTTAATGACATGAGAAACGGTTAACAGTAACAAAAGTTACGACGTGCCAAAGTAGTCCGTTTCAAACTAATATTGCGAGAATTTCGATATATGTTAACTTTAAAAAAATTTCGATGATCGTACGCTAGCCAAATTTACAAATCGCCTATTTTATCTAGAAGCTCGTTTTGAGAACATCATCGTCGTCATATCGAATTGTCAAAATGAGTATTGAAAATAATTAAACGTACGTCAAGCGTACTTTTCAAAAACAGGCATCTAACTCATATTTTCTTTAAAAATTTTTTGAATTATTTAATTAAATTTATTATTTTTGGACGACAAGTTTCTCAATATAATTTATATATTTTATTAAACTTTTTTACATGTAGTATGATGTAAAAAAATTTGAGATCAATACATTTTAATATGAATTGCTTTTAAATTATATTTGTATTAAAATTGAATTTCTTATACTTCCTGGATTAAATTTGAACTTTATTTCATGCATTTACTTCCTACATTCAATTTATTTACTCGTTGTCTGCTCAAAATCTTTCAACAAGGTGGGAAACAAAATTATACAAGTAGCAAACTCCATTTGACAATATCAATAATAATGATGTAATTATACAATGTTTTCAAGTTATCAAAATGCGTAGACGTCTACAATTGTAATATTGTATTGACTTATTTTCATTATATTATGTTTTTTTTTAAAATTATATTTTAATTTTTGACCCATAGTATAAAAAGTTTGGCTCCTTCCCTGCCATGGCCCTAAATAATAAAGAATTCACATCCCATTTGGGGATGTGATTTCTTTGCCAAGGTACCAGGTTTTCCTCTTGTGATGGGGTTGGTTGGTTGGTTTTCATCGAGCATACATATTTAATTTTAATGTTAGATGGTATTATAAAGTAAAAAATCAAGAACCCTAAATGTCATTTCAATGGAAGTAACGAAAAGTCACAAGAAAAGTATTCAGGAGAAGCTGGCTTCAACTCAAGGTTGAACCCAAACCTTGAGGGCCCCCTACCACTTCACCCCTAAAACATTGTGGAGGAAGTAAATGGCGGGATGTGACTCAGTATTCCAGGATACAAGAGCTGTCATACTAGTGTCCACAAAGAGTTCAATTTCATACCTTGTATGAGACATTAATTTTATATATGGATGTTGTCATGTTAGATACATATAAGTTGGGAGATTAATTTCTCGTTTGATTTTTTTTTTTTCATATTACTTTTTTTTAGAACTCATTTATAATCACATTCCCTCAATAAAGTAATTTTGTGATTGAAAAATTGTGGACTTCGTGAAATACGTGATTAAAATGAATTATAGACTTTGAGATAAATTAAAATCTAGATTTTAATTCCTATAATCTAATCAAGCATAAGCATAGAATGGATATTGGAAAACTAGAAAAATAAAATAGAAAAACAAAATCCAAACAATTAGAACTCACGGAATCAGTCTATAAAAATTATCATACTGATTCTGAATGGGATTTTTTTTTTTTTAAATTTCAAGTCATATTCAGGTTTAAAACCTGCCGAGGAGGATAATTTAATAAATCTTGCCTCAATTTCTCTTAGACTTCAGAACTACTGGCATTTAATAATTCTTCTCTTGTTGTAAACTTTATACGGCTGGAACCAGTTGAAGAAGAAGAAAAGCTTCTCCCAGAATCTGATGCTAACGGAGTTTCCACATCTTTCCTCTTCTGGTAATAACTTTTTGGGCCTAAAGTCAGCTCAAGTTCACTCTCGTCTTCTTCTTCGAACTTCTCAGCAGGCTGTTCCAAGTCAAGACATTGTCGTGCCTTCTTATGTACATCGCCATGGTCATTCATTCGCTCGGAAGTTGACGCAAAATCGTGCATATTTTGCCTGTTTCTGGCTATATCCTTCGTTAGCATCTTCTGCATATGATACAAACGATGAAGCTCGCAAACCTGCAAAAAAAAGTACATTTTCGAGCTAAAAGAAGAGTTTATTAAGCTTTTAAACGTTGTGGTTGGACTGAAGTGAGCTCATTGTGTGCATATATAAGAGGTTAGTCTTCAGAAATTTTCATATAAAATTGTAAAGAAATCAATATACCTGCTCCCTAAACGTTTCCTCATGCTTTAACATGGTCATCATCATGTATTCCTTGTCATATGGAATCAGAAACTTCTCCATTGAAAATTGTGCACTAGTTTTGGCTGATAAATAAAGCCAATTATCATATGAACACTGCTTTCTTCAAGGATCTTATGCTCCAATCGATCTGTATATGGATGGTATAGCCAATTTGTGAATATACTTCCTATTGTTTTCCTCTATCTGTACCCGCAGAAAAATGACTAATATTAATTGTACATAAAAGAAAATCTGTACTGTGCATGCATGCATTTAAGTATGAATCTGATGAGTCCAGTATCATTATTTCTGGGCCACAATAATAGTATTACCAGGAAACTAACTTGGTGATCTTCCCTAATCAAGAAGAAATTTAAAGCAGGCTAAAGGTACATGTCTATATATTATATGCATTTGAAAAATTTAAATTGTGGGGTTTATAGACAAGACAAGAAATTAAAGTAAATACTACTGATCAAGGGTTTCTCTCTTTCGGTGGGCAACAAACTGGGAAAAGATCAATCATAAACTGTATTTTCTGGCCGTCTGATCTTTTGAATCACCAAAATTTCTATGCTGAGAAAAAAACAGTGCAATGTGTTCTTAAATTTCATAATTCAAGAACTATACATAGGTTTATCAGCAAAAGATCTGTACTTTCTAAAATCGTCCGCAAGTTAATACTAATTTGTAATTTTCATTGCAATAGCCCCGATCTTGATAATCATCTTTGATTTATACTAATGGCACCCACTCATCCACCCACCCAACAGAAAAGAAGGAAAGGAAAACTGTGAGTAAAGGGGTTAGAGGAATACGAATGAATCTATTTACCTTAAAAAGTATATGATGAACTGTATAGATCACTGATTTGTGCTGTGTAAAAGAAGGAAAGAAAAGCCTCTTTCAAAAAAGGTAAAGCAAACAGTTCACTCTTTCAGGGAACAACTCAAACTTCAGCTTTAACAGTGTGTGTGTGTGTGAATTTTGTCCAGCAGTGCAGATATATTAAACTCCCAATGCCCGCCCGCCACCCTTTATACAAATCATCGAAATAACAGTGGAGCCAGCCAAACTTCATCAAACCACATGCACCCTACCCTTAGTACCTTAGTACCCTAGCCTTTATCTCTTAGCAATATTTTAATTCCATTCTTTAAAAAATTATTTTTTCAAATTTGTTTTCACTACGTTCTTCAAATAAAATAATTTTACAAACAAATTCAATTTTTTTCATATTTTTAATCACATTTTTCAAAAAATCAATATTATAAAGTTTATTATCCTAAAGAATGGAGCACAAACACGGGTGGAGCCCAAGCAAGTCCAGTGTAAGCACAACTTCTGGGCTCAATTTGAAGGCCCATTTTTTTTTTTAAATAATGCCCTGAAGCCCATTAGCATTTCACCTAATACCAATCAATTCAACCCTTCACCATTCACAATGATTTCGCCCCTGCTTCCCGTCTCCACTGAATTCTCAATCCGCCTCCTTCCTTCCCGTCCTTCGCCTCCGCCTCCGCCTTCGCCTTCTCTTTCTCCCAGTCCCTGCAGTCAGCTCCACTCAGTTTTCGTCGCTTCCTCAGTCCTTCCGCCACTCAATTTCCATTGCCTCATCCTGTCATCCGCCTTCGCCATTCGAGTTTGGTTCACTGCTCGCCCAGTCGCCTGCTCTGTCGTGCCTCAACCGCCGTCTATTCTTCGGCAGTAGTAGAAGAAGAAGGTGATTAGGAATTAGGATTTAGGTGAAGGAGTGAAGCCTCGCTGCCCTCGCCTGCTCCGTCGTGCCTCATTTTCCCTTTCTTATTTTTTTTTATTTTTATTTTGATTTGTGTAAATTGTAATAATGTTTGATTTTGTTTCTTTTTAACACAATACTCTTCAATTGATTTTGCCAGACTTCAATTTCCAGTTTTCCAGTTCCAGACTCCAGACTCTTGTTTTGTTGCCTTTGTGACTGTGAGTTTAACACATTGATTTTCAATTGATATGTGAAGTGAGAATTGCACAATTTCTGGTGTTTAGTCATTAGTGATTTGATATTGCCCTGTGATTCTGTGATGTTTGAATTGCACAATTTCTGGTGGTTATTCATTAGTGATTTGATATTGCACTGTGAAACGTGAATTGAATATAGTGTTGCCATGTGACTCTGTGAAGTGTGGATTGGAGTTAGTATTGCCTTGTGAAGAGATTTTCTTTGACTTCTTAATTTGAGTTTATGCTAGAATTTTGTTGGTTTACATAGTAGTAATTGTTAGAATGTAATTTGTAAAATTAATGTTTAGATTTTTTACGTGAATTGGATTAACTAGTAATTGGATATCTAATGTTTTAATTCAGGTATGAAATGAAGAGATTCTCTCTAAGAAAAACTAATGTAGACAATGTAAATGTTGATGGGGGATGTCGAATGACCAAAAACTTGTCGTTTAGCATCGATAAATTGTGCCCGTACTGAGTTACTTTCCTGACTCCGTCCCTGCTCAAACAAACCCCTTAATAATACAGTTATACATGTAATTTAAATAAATAAATGTCTCCTAGTAAACTAAGGATCTCTTTGACAGGGCTTTGCTTCTACTTCTACCTTTTTATGAGAGTTTTTTGAAAAAAATTATTTTAGATCAACCTCATCTAAAAGATCTTTTAGCCAAAAAAATACTTCTAGAAAAATATCAAAATATGTTCAAAAATAATTTCTTAGTATCAGAAATAACGTTTAATTTTTCAAAAACCTTGTTAAACGAGTTATAAAGTTTTGAGATCAAGTTTTAATAACTTTTAATTTTTCAAAAACCTTGTTAAACGGGCCATAAACTTTTTAGATCAAGTTTTAATATTTCTTATTTATAAAGATTGCGTTTTAAGCTTGAAAAATTGAATTGGACATGATTAAAATAAATATTTTAATCATAGGATCTCAATATCATATCATGATATGATATTGAGATCGGTCCTGAAGCCCTGTATAAATTGTATAAATTGTTAGGGCATGCGGCCAAACTCCGACGGTGTGGGAGGTGGCCGCAGACAGTCCGACGATCAAGTCAATATGATAGAATATATAATTGGGTGTAGGATAGGCTTAGTACTGATTTATCAAAGTAAAAAGGGGTCGAAACTGGGGTTGCTGTAGAGAATAAAACAAGAGAACAAAGTAGGAGCATAGTGTGAGAATATGATCTTGCATTACCTTTGAATGGAACCATGTGTGAGCCTTTATAGTATGAGACCACAAAGGTGAACCGTTGGCTGAAGATACACATGGCTTCATTCATGCGGCTTGACTTCCTTTGTCATAGACATCGATCAATCATTCCTAGGCTAGGTTGCAATGAGAGTGGCGACGGTGTAAGACTTGACATGACCAATTGATTGAGTGGGGCAACCTTTTCAATGACACGTCAAATCATCCACTTACAATAAGATCTTTCATGAAGATTCTTCTGAGGTGCCTTGTGTGGTCCGTTTCAATTGAAGTGGCTCAATTGCAACGAATGGATCCGATTCTGTCATATGAGTCTGACTATGCCAAAATTGCTTTGTCACAACAGCCGCGTGGTGCCTCATGGTCGTATATCTTTCCAATAGGTTTCTTCCGCTTAGCTCTGACTTGAGCCTCATTGACGAGGCGTAACAGATAATATAGTGGTTGATGGATCTTGATTGGGTGAAAATTTGAGGAATAATTATAGGAATATTATTATTTTGAAAATGTGAGTAATGGATGAAATTTTTTTGCAACTTATTTATTGATCTTTAAAAAATAAATAATATATATATATATATGTATGTATGTATGTATGTATGTATGTAAAGTTATATTATCAATTGGGCCAAGACACCAAGTAATGGGCCAAGATCATCCAACAAATGGTCAACACTAAGATAATTGGGCTAGCACATTAAAAGGACCATTCAAGAGTTATATTGGTCATGGGCAACATTAACTAATTAAATTGCTTCCAATGGCTCGAGTTGTTTTCGGGTTGAGCCTATAAATTGATTGTGTTGATAGTTATTTCACTCATCGGCCGACGCCTATAAAATATAATCCAAACATCATTGCCCGAGATTTATTGNTTGGAATCTGAAAGGATTAGTGTGCGATTGCATTTTGTGGATCTCTCTCCGATTGTGCTACATGTATATAATGATTTACATAAATATGATGTCATGAGATATAATTGGGTCAAAATTTATTCAATTAATAAATAAATAAAATTTTCACTATCTTTTTGACACCACATCTGTATGTAAATCATTATGTACAAGTAACATTATTTTAATCTCTCTCTTTTGTACTTCTCGATAAACTGTACACCAAAATGTGTTACGTCATGTCTTATATTTATCTTTATCTTTATTCTTCATTTGTGTGTGTGAACTTTCTTTACAGAAATATGGGTGTCAATTTCTTTTACAAAACCTATATTAAAAAAAAAATAGAAATTATTTTTTAAATAGTATGTGAAAATTCAAAAAAATAAAATAAAAATAAATATAAACCATCAATCATATAACTCATTTCAATATTGAAATAAGTGATCTACAAGTATCGATTTCTAGTTTCTATGGTTAGCGATTGATCTACGATGAGCTCTTTACCTTCTAATTAGATTTTCTTATCAGTAGTGAAGGTTATGTTGAGGAAATATAGGATGCAAAAGAATGAAGAGATTGGATCTTGAAAAAGAGTTGCAAATGTTTAAACTTTAAATAGTCTAATAATCATATATAAATATTGCCCTTAACCTTGTGAGGAAAGGTGGTTACATTTACACTTCAAATTTTTTTTTTTTAATAAATACATCACATTTTAATTGTATAAAAGATTCTTAAATCTTTATTAATAGTCACATTTATATTTTTAACTTTTTTTTTCATCATATTCTTATCTTAATCTTTCATTAACTAGTAAATCTTCTCCTTAATCACGGTTTTGATCCAAAAAATATTGTTAGTATACTTTAAAATGAGGGAAAAATATTTAATCTTAATTTTATAGTTTTTTTTGTCTTATTTTAAAATATATGAGGTAAAATAAGTCTTTTTAA